ATTTACCCTGGAGGCAAGTAACGCGTCCCCCTGGGGGAGTATAGGATCCGGCAAACGGACATTGAAATAGGTTTCTGTGGTTCGATACCAATTTTACAGTGCACAGTATTATGCTACGTTTTTCACAAAGTATCATAGAAGAGGGACTCACCGCCCAGTCCAAAGACTTTCCAATGTACTGATGCAAAATCAGCAAGTCTGATATCCTTGTAACTGAGCTGTCCAAATGAAATTGCATGGTCCGAGCAACAGCCAAGAACAACTTTGCCCTATAATAATGAGGGTTTTTGTGTTAACTTCAGGTTCAGAATACCTAATAGAACTGAGAATCGATACCCCGTGGTTATGTTTAGCCTGGTAGGCTTCAGGTATCAAAGTCTTGAGATCCTTGTCGTGGAATAGATGCATACCATCCTGAAATACTTTTCTTAGGGATACCAAGACCTGCAATTGATGTGCACAAGCGCGCTTTCAAGTAAAATAATACAACTAGCAACGTGTGTATAGCACGACTTGTCATGACGTCCGCCTCGCAACCGCACGCTGGAGTGCAACGTGCTCTGTTCACGTCTGTGCACTTTATTTTCCGGCTGCGCATATCACTGCTGAATGAGCTCCACAAACTGCACGTAGTACTGTAGTCTTTGATTTGCTTTTCTTCCTAACGGCGAGGCTTGACCGTGTTTCGTGACGCGCACGCGTGATATCGATTTTTTCAAGGCCGTCGCTTCACGCGCTACTATGCATTTATGACACGCATGGCAGCGGAAAACAAACTTTAGGTAGCCGCGAAAATGCGGTCAATAGATTCAGTTCAGTAGAATCGCCATTTTAGCCATGCGAATCAATCCTCTATGGGCGGGTGAAAATCGTGTCGAGTACGTGGTCGCAGAGGTACGACCCCGCCCGAAATCGAGATCCTGGCACGACCCCCCAAAACAGAGCAAATTAATTAATTAATCAAAAAAAATCCTGCAAAATAAATCAAAAAAATCCTGCAAAATAATGTTATGGACGCCTCATCTTGTCATCTATGCACTGTCTTTCATCGCTGCACACTTTTGTGTATTTACTGAAATATCGACTCGAGGAAAGAGGCATTAACTTTGTGTGACCTCAAAGTCAGGTTCGTTCAGAAATGCACAGAAATCCTGAAGGCACGGGGTTGCGATTTAATCTTAATTCCTGCTTGAGTATATCGAAACAGCCGAGTGTATCAATCAACGGCCGATTCAACGGCAGCTGCGGCGCGATTGTCACTGGGTCAGATTTGCTGAAATCCCGAAAAAAAACCGTCGAAATCTACACCCTCGATGAAAAGGTTGCATTCCTCCATTTCACAACCTTTGAAGCAGCTTGAGGTAGAGTTAGATAGAGCTGGATTTCGCGTTTCCAACAAGCATCGAAATTGCTCTGGAAGCCTTCCTTGCAGAAAGATAGGGTCTGTCAAATTTCGTCGAGTAAATGTCGAGGGAGGCCAAATTTTCACGCGAGTTTTTGCCACTTCAAGAGCAATATCTCTCTTAATATTGTAAGATCCTGAAAAAGGGAAGATAGTTTTGGAAAGCGGAAGGTTTGCGCTTTCTGATGGTCTTCTTAGCTTTCTTCTACATTTCCTAGTTGAGAAGATATCTGCGTCGAGTATGTAACGAGGACGGATCCGGCCACCTGAAAATCCGCTCCCTCCTTCACCATTGCAAGTGTAATTGTTGGCAACGCTTGAAATGGGTCTAGAAAACATCCTCCCAACATAAGCAATAGGAAAAGGGGCAATCGTCATCATCGAATTTTGTCTGAGTATAGGCCATGCATCCGACCTCACTCGAAGTTGCAGAATCGATTCGAAGGTGTCATATGATCATGACCAGTTGACAGAAGCTGCATTGTAGTAAACGCATTTCGTAACTCCTACAACCTGAAGAACAACTTCATTTGCCCAGGGCTTTTCCTTCACGGTTGTCGTTTTTGCGACAGGGTCCCTAACAACAGTGTCATTCTCAGCGAGGTATTAAGGGAGAAGGAGCGAGCGGCAGAGGAGGTGCCTTTGCAGCGCGTGCGCACATGTGGCAGTCTTCTTTGCGGGGATGCACTTTCATTCTTTGTACTGCCTTCAAATACGCCCTTCTCATGAAGGTGGAGGAATGGAGCGACTGAACCTGCAAAGAAAATTTAATATCATGTTTTTTTTTTTTCGGATGTTTTCATTTTCTGCTGCGCTATGGCGCGGCCTCTTACCTAATGCACCACGATAACCTAGCTGCTGTACTCGACGCGTCAGAGTACTGAACCTCCCCATGGACCCCAGCACGAAACAGTACGGACCCCCTCGTCGAGGATTTCCTCGACCCGACTCCACCTCTGCTTAGTGGGTATCCCAACTCAATACAGACCAGTGCCGGAGCTTTTGACAAGACACAATACAGGCTAGATTGTTAACGGTTAACCCTTCGGTCGACAAGGAGGACAATCACAAATGTAGCATTCCCGTGCAAGGAAACCAATCGACAAGCGCGCTAGGGCCTTGCAAAGTGAGCTGCAGTAGCGTGCATTTTTTACGAGGGCGTCCTTCAGTCTGGCCGCCCTCTGGGGATGTGCGAGCGTGCGCTCGGTCTCGCTCATGCTCTCCTCTCCGCGCTCAATGTCTCCAACAAAACTGCTTCAATCCAAACGATTGGTTGGACGGTGGTGAGCCCTTGCGCCTAAACGTTTCGACATGGTTCTTTTAACCTCCTTTACTGGGCCGGACCATTTCGTACGCAGTAAGCTTACACACCTCGATATTATCTCGTCGACGCGCACATGAACACTTCAATCTGCGGTGGAAAAACCTAGCATACGCTCGCGACAGCGGATACCCATAGCTTTGATATCATTACTTCATGCTACGAACAAGCGATTAAGCTCGATTCGGTGGCTCTTGGCCAAAGAGCATTATTCGTGACCAATGTCTTTATATCCTGCAATGTTCGCAGCTGAGAAAGCTATAGACTTCAGCACAATTAGCATCACACTTTTGGTGAAAGTAATATGATTTTTTCGACTCTATCGAACCCTTCGATCCTGTCGATACATTTTTTTGGATAACATAAATTGATATTACGCATAAGTCATACGATGACTGCCTGTACGACATTCGTGACGGCTGGAGAATGGAAGTTAAGAGGAGATGATTGGTCTGAAAATAGAAAACGATTGAAAGTATATGACGGGAAAAGTGACATTCCTCCTACAGGCAAGTGTATCGCGATGAAGTGCGTCTGTGTGCATAGACTAAAGACACATATCCACGATCACAGGTAGGGGGTAGCGAGTTAAGGTGTGAGTCACTAGGTTCGATGTGACCTGGCATGAACGGAAATGGGAATCACAATAAATGCCGAAAGTTTTAATTGAGCCCACAATCTAAAATTGTATCGACGGCGCTGTGCGGCTGAGGCGAAGGGAATTACATGTCGAGATGGGAGGTTTGTGCGCCAGACAGGCCAGTTCCCTTGATTTGCCGTGCGTTGGGCGGATGAGAGATCCCCTCCGACACAAGAGATAACTCCAGACAGGGATATTGAAGGGGTTTAGGGCCAATGTTGTCTCTAAGGTCGTTCCGTCACCCTAATTCTGACATTCCGCCGCTATAACACTTCTGCGCCATCTTCGCAGGGATGGCGCATTCTACACGTGATCCAGAAGTTCACCGTGGAAAGTGTTTTCGGGACGAGTTTTCCGCTAAGTAGGCCATACACTAGATCATACTTCTGAATTGAAACAAATTAGTCGCGTGACTGAACGGTAGTAAGGGTCCCAGGAAAGGTCTTTTACCGTAGGCGGAATTTAAAAAGGTAACCCATTTCGAACAAAGTCCAGGATTGTCAGTGATACAGGAAAGAAGGAAAAACCATGAAAATAGGCCCGGATTCTGAGAAATGGGACCAGAGGGAAATGAAATGGGACGCATTCTTTCGGAGGAGAACGACTCAATACAAAAAGCACTACTGAAGAAAATTCAGAGTCTATTTTCAGCGCGAACACTGCCTTCGTGAAAAAAATCTTCTGACTTTTGCATGAAAATCCGTCCAAACATGAGAGAACGTTTGTGATTGAAGCCGCGTACGAGTTTTCGCAGATTTTGAACCGATAGAAAACCCTGTTCGTCACCGATGTATGTCCATTGAGCAGGTACCTTAAAAACTCTTTTGAAAAATGCGAGACAGTCGCAGTGCTAAAAAAACTCAGTTTTTAGAGAAAAATGCAGGGGCTAATTTAGTTGTGGGGGGGGGCAATCGCCACTGCGGCGCGCGGCATGTTCGCGCCGTTCAATGCGAAAGGGGAGAGGGGGAGGGGGCTCCTGAGCCACAAGAAGTCTCAATAAATCATAGGGTTGGGGAGGGGAGAGGGTGCTGGTGAGACCAGTCACATGGCATGCGTGAAAAGCTGGACCTTGCAAGTTTCACCTTCTTGCTGAGATGACACGAACATACGTCGGGCGGCGATCCCCCCCCCCCCCAACTAAGTTAGCACCAAAAACAAATCGCGAACCTTTGAAGACGAGTCGACCACGTGTTGAAAGTAGCTCCAATAGAAACCGTTCAATTTTGAATCAACAACGATGACATATTGATCTTGAAATGTGGAAAATATCAGAAGGACACAAAGGAGTTTATTTGGCTTGAAAACCTTAATTGGTGAGTTAACAGATCGACTCCCAAGAAGATGTTACCTGCTGCTTTCTTTTGAATGTCCGCCGAGTTTGTATAGAAAATCGTCTGATTGCATACACTCCCATAAGTGTCTCTTATTGCAGTTATAAAGTTCAACGGCTTCTGGAATCCATAATTTTCTTTCGTGTTTTGATGTTTTTCGGCTTTCTTATGAATTTTCATATCCTAGGTCTATTTTATATTTTTCGGTAACTCCTACAGTTTTGGCATTTCCGCCAAAGGGTGAGCTAACGGCAGGTGGCACGATAATTGTGTGCTGTAAATGGGGAGAAAAGCCCTTCTATGAATACATTCTGTGCATCCTAGTAAGAGAAAAGTGGTGCTTTCAGCGGTGAGGCTGTGCTAGTAGAACCCCAGTGAGAACATTCTCATCCTTTGCCACCTGGACGCATTGCTAGACAGACTGTTGATCCCTTACGTCAGACTCTAGCCATTTAGCCGAGCAGGTAGTGTAGAGCACTCACTTTTACGACGATCAGCCACCGTGTGATTCGCACAAAGGAAATCGGAAAAGGAAGGCAGAGCTCCGCATCTTTGAAATTGCGGCAGTTTACACTCAGTTTTTTCTGCGCCCTGCGCCCTTTTCCCCACTCTCCACCCCCCACCTTACATTAGTGACCAATTTTATTCGTGCCATATACATACTTCTGAAAAATAGGAACTTGAAATATGGCCACAACCCCTGTGCATCCGGGTTGACCAAAATAAGACACCGCAAGAAGAATAACGTCGATTCCGGAGCATCTGAAAAGGCTCGAATCCGATCAGTGCTTGAAAATTAAAGGTTCATAAAATTCGAAATTGTCCAATTATTATCATTTTTCAATGGTTCCCTCCTTTAGGGCGGAAGTGGTGTAGTGGCAAGTGGCACGCTCACCACGCGAGCGGTCCGGGGATCAAATCCTGGGTCGTGAGTCGCCCGGGCCAACCAAGCCTTCCATCCCTCCGGGGTCGGTTAATTGGTACCAGACTTGTCTGGGAGGATAAAAACACTGACTTGTACATCGGCTGGCCCCGCAAGTCATTGTATAGGCCACATCGCATTCAAACGCCACTACGAATGTACAAATGGAAGTAGAATGCGTGCCGCATCCCAAAAGGGATTGATCAACGGCAAATGCTTTATCCTTTATCTTTATCTTTTATCCCTTCTTATGGACGACTGGGGCTCACTGTCAGAATCAAGTAGGCTCAGCCTACAAATGTGCGAGGAAAAAGTACATCAGACTACTTGGGCTCAAATTCTCCAGTATCGTTTTCGAACGTCATGTTTTTTTTTTTCTCCCTCCCATTCAAAAGCGAGAAAGTGTCGGGTGCAGACCGTGCACCACAAGTGACGACGGCCTTCACAAAATGTTAATGTTTTCTGCCAATGAAATGATTAGCCTGTTGCAGTTGTATTGTATTCGATTGTCACTAATTACAACTATCATTTACCAGAAATCAGCTATCACTATGAACAACTTCTAACCAGATTTACTTGGAGGCCGTCGTCAGTTGTGGTGTTTGGTCTGCACCCGACACTTTCTCGCTTTTTGAAGGGGAGGTTATGTGAGTTAAAGCAATCTCAGATCCAACAAATCTCCAACGCAATTCACCGTTCTAGCCCCCCCCCAATGCACTAACCCCTCATGCTCCACTGGTAAATTACAGTGAGCAAGCTGTTCGGTTCACCAACCGTTTCTGAGTCGGTCGTTTCACATTTTTTGAACCTCCACAAAAAAGGTGATAGGATAGCAAAAATTGTCCACACTATGAATCGACCCACCGGCCCTGCACCATGACGACCCAACCACAACCATCCGTCCGCTGTGAGTGGTAAACCACGGAGAAATGCTGATTTCTGTTTTAGACGGCAACTTTCAAATCCATATCCGAGCATTAGTATTTCAGACTACCTATATGCCTAGCCAACCTTCTAAAAAAACTACGGGAATTTGAAACCCACTCCCTGTGATCGTTGTTGTGCTTCTGAGCACTCCAGCTCCTCTTAATCAGTCCCTAAGCATTTGCTATGGAAATTGGCCCGGACCTTCGGGTATTTTCCCTTACATTGGCCATTCAAGTACTCGAACATATTAAGGCAACAACCCCGATCAAATTGGTGGCGTAATCCGATTCGAATAGCCAATTACGAAAATATGGAAGCCAGATTGACTGAACATGAAAAAGGGACCAAACAAATCGCCGTTGAAGCTTTAACAAGCATTCCCTCTACTCCTCCTTGAAATGAGGAAGGGGCGGAGCCGGACGAGTCTTGTGAGCTAGTTTGCCCACGGATCCAATACCGTGCGTATTTGAATCAGCCGCTACGCATTGGCTACACAGAGAATCCGCGATCTTCACGATTACCAAATGGGCGTGTCGACCGAAAGGCGGACCGACCAACAATGGCACCTATCCAACTCCTGGCGGCTTTCCAAGGTCAGTTTTTGCTTCAGCGATACTTCATATGTTCTCGACTGGTCTCACTCAAGTTTTCACCCCATCAGTAGCAAAAAATGGATTCATCTGAGATTGTTGCTTCAACCTCATGCGGCGGCACGCATTTTTTACATAGAAACAAACCTGGTACTCACCTTCATCGATTTGTGCAATATGATCAATGGAATCGATCTCCTCAAAACTTAAAGTCAATCCAAACACATAGCCAATAGAAAGCCCAATTAGCACCGGAAGTAATACTTCTCTGTAAAAAGCAACTATTAATTTCTCAGTGAATTCAGCCCTTGAAGCTGACGGGTAGAAAGAGTAAGGTTCTATGGTAGTGGCTGGAGGGCGGAGCGGTTTCGATGTCTTATTGGACGTCACTGGTGGACAAGAGTTTTTCAGTGCGGTGGAGGGTGTGGCTTGAATTCCACCTCTCAACGCCCTTCCACCCAATGACGCCCAAGAACGTCGCTAGAATCGCTCCGTCCTCCAGCTATCTAATTCATTGCGTTAAAAGTTCCGTAGAAAAATGGGCAAATTTTACCACAGGCGTTATGCTTTGATTGATAACGTGAACCGTTCCTCGGAAAGGGCCTTTGCGCGTTCACTAGCTTGAGAAAGCGCTACTTCAAAACCAAAAAAGAGGTGATAGTAATGTGTTTACTGTCGATGAGTTACTAAATCGGGCAACCAATTTACAGCTTATTAGGCAATCGTTTTAGTCACCGTGAGGAGAAAATTATCAGTCAATGTTCATCGGCTCAGCAGAACGACGGCACAGTCATTCACAAAGCGCTCGAACGATGCCTTCCGAGCTTAAAGGTTCAGCCTCGTTCGAGCCGGACCCCGCAGCTCAGACCTTCACATAATATGCCACCTTCACGGTCCTGTGCAGTGCATAAATGAGTTGAGCTACGGTGGGCCAGTCACATAACGAGAAGATGTGTTCACGCGTGGATAAAAATAATGGCCGAAAGGGCTCTCATAGGACTTTCGCATTTCAAAGAGAGAACTGCTGCGGGATCGAGAGAATCCTCCTGAGTACCTCTCAAGACACCCTATGACATAGATGACCAGTATAATAGAATACGTAAGACCGATGTCAGATTTTACGAATCCGTGGATTCGCTAGCAATCGCGGGGTACGAGCGACGCACCAGCGGATCAAACGATGCGCCAGCGACTCGGACGTGCTGAAGGGGCGGGTACCCCCAGGAGGCCCGTCGCGCGGCAAGAAGGCAGAGTCGGCGGACGAGTTGCAGCGCGTGGTGTGCGATGTAGGACGTGCAGTGGGACACTCTATTTAACTTGACGCGAAATCCCTATAGTACGCGCGCGACTCGTCCGCTGACTTTGCCTTCTTGCCGCGCGACGGGCCTCCTGGGGGGTACCCGAGTCCGGGTCAGTCCTTGTTTGCACGTTGGATTCGCCGCACCGGCTTTCTAGGTCTCTGGACCCCCTAGCTCTCTGTGCCCACGTGAGCCTGAAAGCAGTAAAGTTCAACTGCGAACTAGAGGGTGCTCGTCACTTCCCCCAAATGACCTGATACATAGTTGAAACTGGTGATGCATAGTTTGTTCCGCTGGTGCATCGCTCGTAACGCTTCGATTCGCTAGCGAATCCACGGTTTCGCAAAGTCTGACACCGGCCTGATAAGAGTATGTGAACGCTTACCGTAAAAGCCTGCGCCTCCCACCGTTTATCACACGTTTTCCCAGTAGCTGGTAGGATGGCCTTGTCATAACATCTGAAACAAATTGGGCCATAGATGAAACGACGAAAAAGGATGGCAAGAATGCGAGCAGAAGTGGACGATACAGTGAGTGATTCAGAAAAAAACTTCATAGGAGACTAGTACAAAAGGTTAATTGATAATATATTCCAAGAAGTCATAAATAAATAAGAATAAGTCAACCTCGGTGAGTCAATCGCTAACCAATCAACTCCGGAGGAATGGCCTAGTTGATATTGAAATTTTCTCCAAACCCCCACCGCCCCAATACCGCATCCGCAACATCGAATTGTCGTACCTTGTAATCTTGTCTGGATTGCGTAGTCTATAGGGCTACCCCAGCATAAACGCTGACTTTTGAAAGACAACTTCTGATCCATGAACTCGTCCAAATCAAAATTAACAGACCAAATGACCGATCAAGGAACCTTCGATATCTCCTAGGCTATTGAAGCCTTCAGTTCCTCCGGCGTGGGTTGATTAGGGTAGGGTCATTCGTGTTGGCGAAAGTCTATACTTTTTTGCCACTAACGCGTCATTTAGTATCCCGCTTCTATCTTGAACCCGCCCAGATTCATCTCACTCACTGTCTTTGAATCCGGAATTTGAACCTGTGACCAAGACCATATGTGGTGCAAATCACCTACGTTACCATTACTATTATATAAATGGGCCACCCAAATTATTACGATCATTTGAACCAAATTCAACAGCTGACCCTGCGATTGCGCTGGACCAACCTTAAGGAAAAGAAGTAGAAGAAATGAGCCAAATTCTTGAAAAAATAACAAAATAAAAATAGGAGTAGAGAAGGATCGATTCATAGTGTCTCGATAGCTCAACGTGTTTGTAGTAAACGATGAATGGCGATAAGCTTCAGTAAATATTCAACAAAGGGCGAACGAATAGAGAAAATGTTCCGTTACGTTCTCCACCCTCGAAATCACACTATGACGAATGAGGGTATTCCAATAGAAGCAAATAATTCAATTCGAATCTGCTTTCGCTATTTACTTCAATAGCCGAGCTTTGTGATAGTGCGATATCGACAATGTACCATATAATTGAAAACGCGAAAATATTCCACGTAGTTAGCTTTCGGTAAACAAAATATCCTGGGCAGTAAAAAAATAATCTATAAGGGAAAAGGTCAGAATCGGACAATCTCATGAGGATGCGCCATACATTCTCATGCCGTTTAGAGTGATGAGTGTGTTGAAATTCACATCCGCTCTGATACTGCAATACCAGGAATCTGAAACAGTAACTTCATACATCAAGGCATGTTGGGAGCGGAAATATCGCCCAGTTAAAACAAAAATATTCAAGGTAGGAAGATGAAAATCCAGTTCTGGTGGGCCAGTCCTTGTATCTTAGCCTTAGTTCTACAGAGCACTCCTTTGGGCCTTCTAAGCTGTTGACCTGATCGTAGCACAAAACAGGGACCGTGAGAAGCGGGTGGAAACGGACGGTAGGGTGAGGCACTTTCTGAGAAGGCCGACGTGGATGTCTTAAAATCCACACCCCCTGCCCAAATCCTATCCAGTTTTTGCACCAGGTGATCCACCCTGGAGCTTATCTACCCTTAGACCGAAGCAGACCTCTCCATTCCCTGATTCAGGACCGTTTCCTTAGACAAGTGCAGGGCCAATGGTAAGCATCTCAGAAGTACTCCTACCCTACGCCGGTATTTATCAGAAGTGTACTTCAAATTATCGATTACATAACGCTCTCATGCCTATGTTAGTATAGTCGAATACAATGGAGACCCCCCACCCCGACTGGATTTTTGCCAGGTACGTAGGAGTGGAGACGACCGTTGATTTTGTGCTGTTTGCCATCTCTGTTGGTAGGGTCATATTCGCCGAAATCTTTCTGAAAATGTCTCCAAGTCAGTGCCGCAACACGCGTTCATCGCGCATAGGTCCAACAGGTATGACCCACCATGACTCTCAGGTGGAGCTCGACGTGAAAGCTGCCGACTTGTTCGCAGCACAAAACCGGCACCGTGAGAAGCTCATGGTTGAGGAACCGTACACAACAATAGTTGGATAAAGCGCTGGGAGGGAAGAATTAATAATACATAAACTCACCATTGCAATGAAGGGAAGGGGATCCATTCAATGCTCGTAACTTGCGTTTGAATCTTGGGCCGCAGGCACCACTGCAATATTTTCTTACCCGACACGCACTTGGAAATGCATAAGCACTCATTGCCAGGGGTAAATGTGATAGGGGCAGATAAAAAAGCTTGATGTATCAAGTGGATAAAGGATGAGGTTGCTTTCAACAATGCGACACAACTTGTCCGTCCATTTCACGAAAGATGTGCATTACCATCTAACTCATTCCCTAAACTTGATGCTGTGTGTTGGAGGGGGATCCCATAAGGTCAAAGAAAGGAGAACTTATGTACTGGACAGACAAGAGAGTCCTCTAAGGACGTGGGCCGACACGCGATTCACAGCGAAGCATATGCCACGGCACGTGGCATGGCCGTTCACGCGGCGCTATCGACGCGGCACGCCCACCGACTGGCTAACCACTCGCCGCAGGTCCTAGCCGTTTAGCAGAGAGAGCGTTAGCGTTGAAGAGGGCAGCACCGATGAGAGTCGCATCAATGCGGAAATCAACGGGCAAGGAAGGGGTCCCATTTCTCGGGTTCTGGGCCGTTTCATGGTTTTTTTCTCTGCACCACTCGCCATCTCTACATTAGTTCTTAAGGGCTGTCTCCTAATTGTAAATTCCGCTTTGAATCATTGGCTGCCAGAAGATCATACAAATAGGCTTCGTCAGGCTTCTTCTAGCTCAATCGCTCGGGAAAAATGTGGTATAATAAAAGATTGAGATTCGACAATCAATTGCTTCTCACCTTATCGATAAACCATAACTTAAATGTTTAATTTCTGAGATTGAAGTTAAACCTCAGGTAGCAATAGCTGGTTTTCACATGATACCTCCCGTCGGTGACAGGGGGGGGAGGGGGAGGGGGACACAAGTGCACAAGCAGAACCATTAAAGCGAGGGATTACGATGAAGTATGTGTGTTTCGTGGAAGTACCCTCTATTTACTAGAACGAGAAGAGCGTCGAGTGCAGACCACACACCACAAGTGACGACGGCCAAGAAAAAGCTTCTTTTTTTCTTGGCCGTCGTCACTTGTGGTGTGTGGTCTGCACTCGACGCTCTTCTCGTTTTCCGAAATAGGGTATACATGCAGCAGTGAAAGCAGTAAAAAGGAGCCAAAAAACCGAGATGTGACATTTTCGTGGCCAGGGGTGCGTTAGTTGCAGCGCCTGGACTGCAATCCTTTCTGAGCTCCGCCTTCGCGCATGCTCCGCCCATCAATGCGTTGCCAACAGCATTGAAGATAATCCACTTTGAGCACTTATCCTATAACTTTTCATGGATGCGTGATCAATCAAAGCATGATGCTTGCTGAAATGATAGAGGCTATCAGCATAACATGTGCAAACGACCTCCTTAGTTGGTTGCTAGCTCGTCCATTATCGGAGGTCAACGGGCAAAGAAAGGGGTCCCATTTTGCGCTTCTTGACGGATTTCTTTGCTTTTTTCGCCACTAGGGCATTATTCCCCACTTCCACTCCAAATCCAACCCAAATCCTATCGTAATCCCTCTGCTTCTAAAGCAAGTCCTCGCCAAATACGTAGTTCCTTCGCTTTTCGTTCCGGCCAGGGCGAATCAAATATCTCAGAAATTTTCAAATAAACCATATCTCATAAAAACTCCTATTTTCCGGTCTTTATTAAAACCACCACTTATATTCTCTGATGGACTTTTGTAATGCAACAGCAATATCGCAAGCCCTCGCACGATTTTCGGATGAAATGGCATTTGAGCCATACGTCTGAATGGTCGCCTCTACAATTACAAAGACAAGTAATCAGAAAAAAATCACGAAGTAGCTGCGATAGTTTTTAGGAGAACTAATTAGTGAAGGTTGCGGAAATCGGAAATCGTAAAAAGTGGGTTAGTCGTTAGAGAACAGCGCGGAGACTGGAAAATGTGAGAAGGTGTTGTTTTTGAATGCAAAGATTGTAATTAGAGATTATTTTTCCAATCGAAAACCTTCTCCACAACATTTCTCATCTCCCCTGGCAACGTCCTCTCTGCGAAAATTTCTGTTTGCTTTCACAAATAGAAACGGAAGAAGGTTATGGTGATGAATCTTGTTGGCAGTTCCTTCTATGAGCAACAGATTAGCTCCTGTAATAACTCCGCTACTCCTGGCAGGGCTTTAAAGGCAAGATTCGGGATAAAATAGGTGTGGAAAAGCGTTCAGTTATGAAGCTATAGGTGGGAGGTGGTCTGTAAAAGAGAAGGAAAGCAAACGAAACCACCGATTACGCCCCGTACAGAGACCTCCCTATTTCAGCCACATTCCACCTTGGGATAGAGAAAGGCGCGTTGGACGAGTTTCACGAACCTAACTCTACTTGCTCCAGTGCCAATAACATTGGATCGCGCTGGGACCGCTGCCTCAAATGCGCCCGCGCTTTTCAAGCAGCGCCACGTGGCAACCGACAGCGAAGGGTGGGGCTTGCGGACGAAGGTGTGAGTTGCGGGTTGGACGAGCTCCTTGCGCCTTTGTCGCGTACTTTCAAGCCGCAAAAGGGGCCCGACATCAACACTTGTCCACCTGCCTACTACCCCTGGATGGAACAGGCGAGCCCGCCTGATCGCGGAGCGTGCCTTTCAAGGGCAAATTTTACGATGGAAAGGCAGCCCATTGCAAATTAGCTAAGAGATGGTCAGTGATGCATGAAAGAAGAAAAAACCGAGAAAAAAAGGGCCAGAAGCAGAGAAGTGGGATCCCTCTCTTCCTTGCCTACTGATTTGCGCATTGATGCGACTCTCATCGGTGCTGCCCCCTCCAACACTAACGGTCTCTCTGCTGAATGGCTAGAGACTCACGACCCAGGGCGAGGCTTCCAGGAGGACGTACCGGGCCAACACCGCCGTCAATTTAGGCCACGGCAAGGCCATGG